GTTTTTGTTTTAAGGAAAATTTTTGAAAGGAATCTCTATTGAATCGATTGTTGTTTTGCTTATGCTGATTTTAAAAATCTGGATTAAAGAAAACTATTAACAAAAGTCCATTTATAAACTCTTTGAAAAAAAAATTAAGTTCGAAAATTACCTGAGAGCAAGTAATGTGTAAGTTTGGAGAATTTTGATATGTTGATAATTTTGCACTTATTGTTAATTGTATTTTTATATTTTACATGATGATATTGCACTTTAAGAATAGTTTTATGTTATTTTTATAGGTTATAATAGAAAAGAGAACGAATTGATCGAATTAGACAATAAGAGCAAACCTAGCCACTGGCGCCTACCGATCGGTCCCTTCCTAAATGGAGCAAATTCCCCAGAGAACATAAAGGCGGAGTTGCCCTTTGGGCGCCTAAGCGTTGCCACCAGCACCTAGGCGCCGCGATCGCCACGTCAGTTCTTCAATAAAAAAATGTTCAAGTGATTGGCCCCTAGGCGCCAAGACCTGAAATTTGACAGTTTTGGCAGTTCAAAACTTGAGTTTGAGAGAGGAAGTATAAAATGCTTAATCACGAATTAAGGGTTTTTTCCTTATTTTCTTCCGCCAAAAATTCTTAAGGAAGGAACTAGAAAGGAGAAGTCAAGAGAAATTCAATTAAGTAGAGAGAAGTGATGATTGAGCGACTTTGTGAGATTGTGTGCTTGTATCTTCAACGTTTTCATGAGTGAAGAAAGGGAGAGAGGTTCTTGAATTCTTATTTTGCGCTTTTGGAGTTATCTTTGTTAAACTTTTGTACTTTGATTTTTCTTTCAATCAGATGATTTTGTTTGTATTCAAGCATGCTTTGTAAGTTATTGTTCTTTCTTCCTTGGGATGGGGATAGGATGGATGTATGTGAGAGTTTCTTTATGTGATTATTGTAGATGGTGATTAACTTTTTGTTCTTCATATACATTTCACTTTGGTCGTGTGATTTGTTAAAATCTGTTGTGAAGCACAAATCTGAGGGAATAGAGATCGTAAGAAAATCAACTAAGTTAATCACATTAGCTTGAGGGAATAGGGATATATATTTTAGGATAATGCAAACTTTCGGGGAGAATGTTATGCTTGGGTTAAAGATTAAAATTAGGGAACTAATCTACATCTTAAACTAACCTTCTTATTCCACCGAAAGGGGGTAAGGAGGAGGATTGCTCCTGTTTGTCATCTATTTATTTTGTGAAATTATTACATACACTTTCTTATTGACCTTTTCCAAGGGAGAATCTTCTTCATACTTGAGTAACTTTTCATTTTCATTATTGATAACTTACGATTCTTACGTAGGATTTTAATTAAACCAAAATTTCAAGCTTAGGCTGAAAATAGTAGTCTAGAATTTTTATTTTGTTGAGTTTTCCTCGTTCTTTTTGCGATCGACAACCGTACTCAAATCCGGTACTATTGATATGACACGTATACTTGCATGAGCAACCCGTGCTTCACAGCACTTAGTGGGTGTCAAAAGTGCTTGGTTGTACATTAGAACATCGTTAATAAATTAAATAAGATATTTTTCACTAAAAGAGTGCAAGACATGTTCCATTATTCTCATAAGAAATATTGGGTGCATTTATTAACCCAAAAGTCATCATTAACCATTAATACAATCCATCTACGATTTCAAAAATATTTTTTTTATTAATCACCTTATCTCATTCGAACCAAATAGATAATAATTATAAAATTGATCTTAAAAAAATATCACAGCATCATTGATAAAATATAGATCCAAAATAGATTGAAAATCGATACTATATAGTGCTTTTGTTAATGGTTCTATTATCTGCATAAATAAGTCAGCTTTCATCTATTTTTTATTCAAGAAAAGTAGAAAAGTACAGAAGCTCTCACTTAATAATGTAGTAGCATAGAACTCCTCTATAGATCCTCTTCAAATCCAGTACCCTGAGCTTTCAAAACACCATGCAATCTCAACAAGCCTAAAGCGCACTTAATTTTAACACATACAATCGATTTTCAAGGCAAAACACTTGCACATCAAGATAGATTTATAATCACTAAAAGTAAATGAATTTTCGTAACTCATAACTCTCTCATTGCTCTAAATGATATACTGGCACCAAGATATGTTACGCAACAAAAGACCAATTTGCTTGATCATCTCCTAATTCCTTCCCATCAACTTGTGCCTAACTTTATCACAAAACTTTTCCCACATCTAAGAAACTAACTCTCTTTTGCCTCTCCAAATCATGGTACTCCACCAAAGCTAATGAAATTAAAGCAATATCAAACACAACTGCACCTTACAACAGAGATTACCGCCATTATTATCGCCTAGATACCAACTTAAGCACCTTTGCAAACCTTACATAGGTCGAATTTTTCTAAGAACTTACATGTCACATTATTGAGAGCTTTTAAAAATATCAAATACTCATTAGAATCAAATACATTCATAACTCCAACCAATACGCTAATCACACCATGTGTCCACAACTTCATAACATCCAATCTAGTCATCTTACAAGTTACTTTGTTCTCTAAATAAAAAATGAATCAAACGAAAAAAAATCAATCATCACAAAAAGCATGACATATATCATAAACAAAAAAATCTCTAGCAACACTAGTATCTATTGACTTCGCCTTGAGCGATTGCTATTTTAATGTTGTTCCTTCCTTTTCAAAGCATACTATCTTTTTAGTGTGCCCTTTCCTCTTACAATAGAAGTGAAGTCACATTTGTACAAGTAGCATTGCTTACTCCATGATTAGAGAAAGATATCTTATTAGAAAATCTATAGTTAATCAATAATTCCTTGGCTAGATTTCTATCTCCTACACCATCAAGCCTACATCATATAACATAATGTCACGAAAATACTTGTAAGAAAAAATAAGAGTGCAATAGCAACTAAGCTTGAATATTATCATCACTAATCAGACCAATATTTCTCAAATCTCATATAATAGAATTCAACACATTTATATGTGATATAATAGGATAAATGTAATTTAATAGGTGTTTACGTATCTTCCTCCATGTGAAGTAAATAGTTTTTGTTTCTAATATAATATGTTGGGGCGGGATGACAGATTCTGGTCATGTCCAAAGACAACACTTTGAGTCATAAATCTTTTGATAATGTTTCCTCCAATACCTTATACTTTAAAAAACAATCGAATTGCTAAGCCTTTTCAACCATCTTTACACTTCTTTTGCACTCGTCACAATTGGTAGAACTAAACATCTCATAAATGCACTTGTAAGTCCCTCAAAGCATGAATAATATGACACTTGGCTCTCTAAAGGGCTAAATGCATTGAACTTCTCAATCTCAACATCATGTTTTCATTATCATCATTGAACTCAAATAACACAGGAAAAGGTACCGAATATTGTGTGGAAGCAGTAACTGATAAAGGAACACACGTGAACAATTAACAAAACCTGAGAACACTACTCTCAATAAAAGAAAGACAAATCCCAAATCCCTTGAGCCAAATAAGAGGAAACTACTAAAAAATGCAATAAAGAAGAAAAGTAAACTAAGAACATAAATTACTCCCTTCAAAAGTCCTTGAAAGAGATATTTAAAGCTCTATAAAAATTTGGCTCAACTTTTCTACCACAGAGATAATTTATTTCTTCAAAATAATTGTTTGACATCATCCATATGTCCAATCATGACAATTTCACAAATCACCAAAGAAGATAAGAGGCCATACTATTGTCAACCAAAGTTTGGGGAGTTGTAAAGATCAGAAGGACAATTATTTTATTATTTTTAGCTAATATCTATTAAACTATTTGATTAATCTTGACACAAATTTTGAACAACTCAAAACATATTTATCATAAAAAATTCCCACCTTAAATATTGGCTTATCCTAATATTTATTGAATCAAAATTCCTAATATTTAATTCCTCTCAATATATTATGCTCAAAATTATGGCACAAAGGTACTTAAAGTTCATCAAGATGACTTTCTAAGCTCACAAAAATGAACTTACTTTGGTCCCCTTCTCTTTATCTTTTCCTTCATTCTTTATATTTTCTCTAAAGGCAGTTGTCTCACTGCTTTGCTTTTCAGACTATTGTTACACCTTCGCTTAGTTACTACTAACTTGCCGTTTTTTAGAAATTTATGCTATTGAAAGTTGATTTTTATAACAATATCAACCAATGTATGGCAGCCATAAAAAACCTATTGTTTGACTTATTTTAAAATAAAAATATCTATAATACCCACGCTAGCTTTCAAAAAAATTGTTTTCTTCGCAACAAAGTTATACTTGCCTTTATAAAAAACTATAACGACCCCAAATGGACCATAATTATTTTTAAAAAAATTTAACAAAGCAAAGCCTAGAAAGACAAAACCTAAGTAACTGTTTTCGTCGATCCATCAATGCACGCAGATATCTATTAAACAACAAGCCTCTCAATATGCCCAAGGCAGACAAATTTATAGAATAATTAAGGCAGTTCAAATTGACATCTATCTAATATAACTAATTATTTTAACCAAATTTTCTAAAAATAAATAAATTTTTATTAAGCTAGAAAAACATACAACAATTGTGTCGAATTACTTGTTATTTCAAAAGCCAAGGAACCGTTTAAGATCACTTTTGATTTTTCTTTTTGTTTTCCATTTTATATTATTCATGTTTTAACTTTAAACAAAACATCTTTGGTATCGCATAGCATGTTTAGTTGTTTTAAAAACACTCAAAAATAACTTTTAGATGGTTTGAGTTTTTTAAAAATAAGCTAATTTATTTTTAAAAATAAAATATATATAAAAATACAAAAATTGCACTACACAAACATGTTTTTAAAATAAAAGCAAAATAAAAACAGAAAACAAAAGTGATCCGAAATAGGCACTAAGACTATCAAACCTTAATACTTCCAAGTGCAACAATTTCAAAATTACACCACTCAAACCCAAATTTCTTGCCCTAAACACAGGGTTGCCATTTCAACAAACCCCTACCCCTATAACAAAAACTCCTGCTCAGAACATCCCTAAAGTCCTGAGAATTGACATAGATATGCAAAAGTGCTCTTAGTTTAATGACTCAGCATAGCCAGTTTCCCCCATTATTTCATCTTGCACCCCTACATTTGTTAGTTATGCACTAAATAGGACGTCAATGTGAAGGAAAAATCAGTTCAGATCCCAGAATCACCGATCCTCCCATAAATTTCATCGCCATTAAAAACGGGATAAAACAACTATTTGGCATTCAAACAAGGGGCAAAAATTCAACAACTGGAGTAAATGAAGACATAAAAAACTAACTCTGAAATAGTCAAAATGCTTAAGGCTTGCATCACTACCATACTACATTAGCAGGAGGTTATTTACCGGTGAACTCTCTAAATCTTCAAAGACTCCTTCCTCTTATTCTCCTCTATTTGGGAAAAGACCTTCATTGCAATCATATTATCATCAAAATACCGTGAATAAGGATGCTCCCGAGGAACTAGCCTTCTGTACTTCTCGAAATGCTTCTCTGCCTCTTCCTTCTTTCGCAGCAACGTGTATATAATTCCTTGGCACAAGTAAGGCCGGAAGTCCCGTGGCTCCTCCCTCACCAATTCCTGGTAAATCTTTAATGCCTCTTCGTACTTGTCCTCAATAACCTTAATCTGAGCAATAAGCAGCTTAAAATCCCTCACGTCCTCCTTCCTCTTAAGCCTTTTGCATGTCTCCAAGGCAGTTTCAACTCTTTTCAATATCTCATTCAATTCACCATCTACCTCCCTCTGCGCCATAACCAGTCCATGGTAGGCTTCCACAAGCAAGGGGTCTCCAACCAATAAATCTTCAAAACCTTGCCTCGCAGCCTCGGCATCCCCGCTGTAGCTTTGAATATGTGCCTTCAGTAGAAGTAGCTCATTCTCTCCAGGCTCGAGCTGAATGAGGCGATCAACGGCTGCTATCGCATCTTGAAACTTTCCGGCCTGAACCTTCAGCTCCATAAGCGCGCGGAGAGAGCGGCCGTCATCGGGATGAGAATCAAGGTGCTCCTCAAGTTTGCGCTCCTTTTCCTCGTCAGAGAGGTCTTGATCAGAGTCTAATGATTCAGCAGACGCCGCGGGGACAGGGGAGACTATGGCAGCGATGGCGCGAGATGGAAAGCGAAATCGGACGAAGAGGAGGGCGGCGGAGGTAGCGGCGGCAGCGAGGAAGGTAGAGAGTGGGATCGGAGTTACGGTTTTGTGGACGGCTTGGGGAGGCTTGTGGGAACAGCGGATGGAGAGAAGGGGTTTGTGGGAGGGGCGTAGGGAGATGAGAGTTTTAGACGAGGGGTTTAGGGGGAGGGAAGGTGGATTGATGGTAGAGGGGAAGGAGAGTGTGAAGTTTGGGGGACGGAAGGTTCTAGAAACGGACTCCATTGGTGCTTCTCCGTCGAGCTTCCTCTCTTCAAGATGGACAGAGAGAGGGGGGTCAGTAGCGTCGGCTCGAAGATATAGCCTTGCTCAGCAGCTGCAGGGCATATGAAATAGGACGGGAAGGATACGGGGGCAACTAGAGCTATAGACGAATGAGAACGGAGAGTATTTGAGGAGAGTTGATTGGCCGGATAGCGGGCGGGACGTGCTCTCCACTGATGGCTAAGAAAACCGAGACTGGATGGATCCGGTTGCTTATTCGAAGAAGGAGAGAGTATGGAAATTTGCAAAGTGTCGCACAATTTTTATTTGTTTGCATGTCTAAATACTAAATTTTGATATTTAGAATTGACAACTCTCTAAAATATAATCTTAATCAAGCACAAATCTTGATGCATATCAGGACCTAAAATTTTAGATATTTAATTTTGTTGAAAGATCTCGAAAATATTAATGATTATATTTCATATTTTTTATAACTCTATATTTAGATTTATAACTCTATAAGAGGATTATAAATTATATGAGGGATCTTGAGAATCTTTATTTATTTCTCTCCTTAATTAGAGAGATTAGTTGTCTCTTATATTTTGTTATTATTCATTTTCTTTTCTACAGTATCATGTTTTTATTGTTTTCCTTATCAGTAAGTCTTGTAATGAGTATTTATATCTCTCTTTGCATCAATAAAATCAAACTATTCCAAAGTATTCCGCATTATTCTGAAATTCATCATGGTATCAGAGCCTAATTTCATATTCTAGTCACCTACCCTCCTTTGAGAATTGTTGAGAATTGTCAGACTCCCTTCCTGCCGTTCTCTATGCAGGAAGGGAGGGGAATAAAGAGTTTTTTTTTTCTCCAGATCCCTTGCAACGCTGCTTTACGACGGTTTCGCCGAGACTTACTGCAAGGGCACCTCAACCCTCACGCCGCCCTTTCTTGAAGACCTAGACCCATGCCTTCCGCGAGACCCCTTTCCTATTCAAGTTACCTTTTGAAGTGTTTTGCAGCCTTCCGTGTCCACGCTGAGCGCCGAATCTCCAAGGACGTCTCTGATTGGATGGTCCACATATGCGTAGCTTCCCGCAACCCTGGTCAGATGGCCATCGGTCGAGCTTCTACCTCTCGCCAGCGAGAAGAAGAGTTCCGCGTCAAGTAGCGCTAGGCAAAGGAGCAGTCTAGGCTCAGCCTCCGCGATTGTGTTTATTCCCTCGATGAGGAAGATGACGCTGACGACCCTCTCTCCAGTTTCAGCGCCTTCGAACTTACTCCCCTCTACCGAGCTTACCACATCTACCAAAATATCGGCCTCATGGACCATTTTCGCCAGTACTACTTTGAGAACCGCAAGCTCCAACTCACCTCGGACTTCCAGGTCTCCTCAATGACGCCTTTCCTGGAATCACATCAGACTTTCTTTTCCTAGATCGTTGGGTTCTTCATCGTTGAAGACTGTGTGCCCCACACCGGCGGAGGGCTCGTCACCCGCGTGAAGGTCGACGCCCTATGGGAGATCGCTATAAGCCAAAATGGTTTCTGTCATAGAGGACCAATTCTCAAGGATGCAGACTGCCAGTCACCTCCTACTCATCAAGGACTATGTTAGCCTCCTTAGTGTTACCCTTCGGCGTTGTGGCTATGCTGTGGATCCTCTCCTCGATGTCCTTGACAAGCGCCTCGATAAGTATCGCGACCTTCTCCTCTCTGATTGTCGTCGACAGATCTTGAAGGCCCTCGCGCCCGACAAATTTGAGCAGATGCTTATAAATAAATAAATAAATAAATGAATAAATAATAATAAAAAAGAGTACGAATATTCTATGAGCGTTCTCTCATTTCAGATCAAGACATCTGATATCATCCCTGCCTTTCCTACGTGGCACCATTCTCCTCTACTGTTCCATATTGTTGTCGTATTGTTCGATCATTCATTGAAGATTTTGTTATCTTTTTGTCTTATGGTGGCCAGCTTGAATTCTATGCTATTGTTAAGAAGTAACTTGATAGGTTACTAGTGATGTTTTCGAGGTGCTTTCCTCCGGCTCGTGGAGTCGCAGAGTCTCGGGGTTTCTCAGGCAATGCAGGTTTCTGCCACCATGGTGTGTTATTGTGGCGAGCGCTGTTGCTTTTGCCTTGGCACATTTTAATGCCCATAGATTGTTTCCATTGGTGTTTCTCGGGATGGTGACGGGTGTTGTTTTTTGCCATATCTAAGAAAACTTCCTTCTTTGTATTCTCCTATGCCGGCACTGGCGATGGGGCTCCAGCCAAGGCGGCACCAGTGATGACGCCACCTGCCTCAACATAATCTCGTGCGAAGATATCGCTGCCATGGATCGGATAAGCCATCCATTAATCATGCAGTATCTTTTCTTTCTTGCCCAAGCGTCAGGGGGAGCTGCGTTTCCAACCGAAACTTCTCTAAGCAGCCATCAGAACTAGAGACCTCTCTACATTCTTTTCTGCATCTGACAATTCCTGTAGCTTCTGTTGCACCTCGCTTTTCCCCTGTGTAGGCGCTGCCAATCGTCAGAATCAATTTTTGCAGCCTTTGTTATGCCTCAATTTTTCCTTGTGTAGGTGTCTAATTCACTACACCAATACGATTTCAACATTTTTCCCTGCACAGGCATTTGGGCAACTGCAGGTTTTCAACAGCGAGCATTATTTTCTCTTTATAGTAGAAGTTTTGGTTCACCAATGAAATTTTTTTTATCTCTCCATGGAAAATCACGGAAGATCTCCAGTTGAAATCTCAATTTTCACTCTTTGGTGGAAATCATTGTCCCCCGCAGAACCACACAAGCAATGACTTCCTTATGGGCTCTCCCATGGACCGTCGAGACACCTACTTACAACCATTCTTCAGGCCCTCTGTCTGATCTCTTCCTCTTGTCCGGATCTTTTTCTGTTGCAGTCTCTCCGAATCTCTGGCCACATCCTTTTTGGCTACTTTGTAGGCCCTCCTCTAAAGCTCCTTCTGTTCTTTCGAGAACCAAACTTCTCCCTACATGAGCTCCTTTGTTCAAATTCTGTTGCTTGAATCTTCTTAGCAACAAACCTTCTTCCACCAAAAATTATTCCCTACTGACACCCGGACCTATCCCTTGATGGCTTTTTCTGCCAATGGAACTCCCTCCTGCGGCCTTTCCTGTCACCCAAACTTATTGCGGCCTTTCCTGCCGCTAGAACCTGCTGCGGCTTTTCCTCCCGCCAAAACTTCTTGCGGTCTTTCCTGCCGCTATAACTTCATGCGACCTTTCCTGCCACAAAAAATTCTTGAGACCTTTCCTGTCGCCAGAACTTCCTGCCGCCTTTCCTGCCGCCAAAACTTCCTGCGGCCTTTCCTGCCACCAGACCTTCATGCGGACATATTTGTTATCGACTGGACCTTCGGGCTTACTCCTGCAGTAGGTTCTCTCCCCTGCAGTCCTTCCCGCCATCGGACCTCCCTCTTGCATCTTTTCTCGTCGTCGGATCTACCTCAAAATTTTTTTCCTTGTAGATTTCGGCCAGCTTTCCTGCAATCTCCCTGCAGCCTCCGTGCAACTTTCTTGCAACCTCCCTGCAACTTTTTTGCAGCTTTCCTGCATCTCTCTTGTAGCATGATCAGTCATGCAATTATCATTCAACTGATGACTTACAAATTCATCAATTGAGCTTAACCCTTATCCAGACCACTCTCAGGCTTCGACACTCTTAGACTTCGGCATTCTCGACTTCAAGACCTTCGGTTTCGGCACTTACGATTTGATAATTGTTTTCGTACCTTCAAGTCAACACACCACAATCGATGTTTTCAAATTCAAGTTGAATATGTTTTTCAACCATGTTTAACTTGAGGGGGAGTGCTGAAAGATCTCGAAAATATTAATGATTGTATTTCATATTTGTTATAACTTTATATTTAGAGAGTTATAAATTATATGAGGGATCTTGAGAATCTTTATTTATTTGTCAGAATCTTTTATTTATTTGTCTCCTTAATTAGAGAGATTAGTTGTCTCTTATATTTTGTTCTTATTCATTTCCTTTTTTATTGTATTATGTTTTTATTGCTTTTCTTACCAGTAAGTCCTGTAATTGGTATTTATATCCATCTTTGCATCAATAAAATCAAGTGATTCCAAAGTATTCCACATTATTTTGAAATTAATCAAATTTTATATATTCTAATGCAAATAAAGTATTTTGATAATATGAGTTTGCTAACAAACTCCAGTCAGCTCTTGTCATAATTTCACATCTTATGATCCTATTAATGCCCTCTACAATGAGTTTATATCAGGACTTTCTTACTTTATGGTTCTCAATCTCACACATCAAGCTCAATTCCATTGTAGTTTTTGTGAGTCAAGCTTAAGCTTGTCATATGAGTTCAATAAAGCTTAATCTTGAGTTTGAGCCTAACATTGATCTCAAATTTAATATGACTCAAATTTGATTTAACTTACTTACACTCTTGAGCTAAAGCCAGGATGTGAGTTAAGATTTTTATGGTTATAAGAAAACTTAAAAGATTTACCACATACCATTGCTTAACCTTATATCATATATAAGTAACCAGTGAAAAGATATTTAAAGTGGTGGTGAAAGAACCAAAACTCGAATGCATTAATTTTTTTGAAGGCTTATTGAACGAGATTGTTAGTTTTTTCAAAAGACTAGAACCAATTTTGAATGACTATCTCTAAAACAATCATGTAAATATCCTCTCCAAATTTTCAAAGTGATGGGCAGATGAGTCAAATGACAACCTTATAGGCACTAGTGAGTGACAATTTGATAATGTTAGCAAACTTTGATGCTTTGTATAAACATTATTAGTGATAGCAGGCTATAATCTTATTGTTGTTAGGGGGCACCAAAATTTGTATCAACGATGGGTGATTATCTTATTGACATTAATGTGTTAACATCATTCGAAAAAGCTAACGCTGACCATATTGATGTCCAATCAATAATTTAGTTGATGGCAAGTAATGATATTGTTGGTATCAATTAACATTAGTGTTATTAAATACAATAAATTACCTACTTATGAGTATTTATAAACATTGTTGTTATTCATTATAAATTTCTTTTTAGTCAATAATTGTTAATAATGGAGTCAACAATATGCACTGGCTTTGGTGACAATAGTGAGTATTGATATTATTGGTGATGACTTGCAATAAATTTAATGTCATTGCTGAGCATTCATGTTTATTGAATGTATAATAATTAAAAGGTAGTAGATTAATAATGTTGGTTGAGAAATGACAATAAGCTAGCGGTGGTATGTCACAACAATCTCTACTGATAATAATTAACATCATTATTGAGCAGTGCTATATAAAGTCTTTATTTCTATTTGATATTTCCCACTAAATTTCTCTCTCATGGGTGCAATGAGAGTCTATTTTGTAATAAAAATTAATAGTATTTAGGTTAATTTTTTAAACTTCAAAAATATTACAACTTCATAAAAATAAAAATAAGTAATTTTTGGCTCATCAGATTCATCGCTTACAAAATTACTAGTTGAGTGTAGGTTCATAATATGTATAGATCATTTGATAATTTAAATAGTACTGTGAGGTCTCCAGCTATATTCAATTTAGGCTCAAATCAAATTCATTGTTGTCATTAGGCTCGCCTAATCAAAATATTAATTTCAATCATACGTTTGTTGAGAGTGGAGTATGGTTGATCCAAAATTTGATCATATAATTTTTTTATTTAAATACTTGAATCAAGATTTGTGGTTGACTGTATAAATTTTTTTATAACATACCATCAATAGATTAATAAAATAATAAATATTATTTTATTATATACTTTGGTAACAATAATTTTAACATTAAATGGGTTCGATGAAACTATATTGAGCTTTTTTTTTTATCAAGTTAGTCATGGACCTACCATTGATTCTCTTAGGTTAGACTGAAACATAGAGGATTCCTACTTAGCACATTATGCCCTTGGAAGGAACCAAGTCTCTCACTTATCACTTTGGCCTTTAAATGCACTGAGATAGATTCTTAATTTTATGTGATCCAATAGGCAAGTGGACCCATCTTACAAATTTTCTAATTTTATTATATTGACTCAATAAGACTTAATGTAATCCTAAGTTAGCTTAACTTAGTATATTCAAACCCATATTGAATATGGCTAAGGATTTCTTAAACTCTATAGATGATCCATGACACTTGTATAATTATGGACCCTTAAATGGCCTCATCCACCTTAGTTAACTTAATATTTTAATATTCTCTATCCATCTTGAACTATTTGGCTTAATGGATATTGACATTAGCGTCATATAACATTTAGCAATCATAGACCCTATTCCTAGCTTAACTATGCTTTGGGTGGACTTTAACTAAACTAGAAATTAATGGTCTTAAGACTCTTAGATTTTATTTAAACCTTAGATGGAAAATACACTTAATTAATTATACTTCTAATCATACCAATTTACCTATGGCCTGAAGTAGCATGATTAACCCTAGCCTAACATTGTACTTAACTAGTTTTTAATGTTGTGCACTTTAGGTGGTCTTTTTGAGGCCCTGAATTAAGTGATGTTAAATTTAATCTGACCTAAATTAGGCTCGAAACAACTAAGGTGCAACTCAACTTATATGTCCTGATAAATTTGATTTGCATATAAACAAACCAAATTAGAATGATGGTTAGTCCCTTAGACCCCAAATTAAGATACGTACTTAGCTAGACTAGCTATAGGGTAACCTTGACCCAAATTTGATAAGATATGAGCAATTTTTGTTTAAAGATATTTTGGCTTAATACAATTAATTTTAATTTAACACAAATATATCATATATTATTTGTCATTTTATTATAGAACATAATATGATCAAATGTGTGGTTGGAAATAGGGTGAAGAATCCCAAGATGCCGGGTTCAAAGAAAAAAAAAATCTTATAGAACGTAGAGATGTAATGGATTTATATATATGTGGATGGTAGTTAGCAAAGACTTAGGTTAGCCCAACCTTTACTTAATATGATATATTTTGGTCTTTTGGGGTTTTGGCCTAACCTACTTAACCTTAATTGTGCCCTTATAAACCATATATTGACTTATATTGTATTACAAAACATAAAGACCTAATATATTTATTATAAAGTAAATCAGACTCAACCAATACTTAAGTTAGCATAGCCCAATTTAACATATTAGATCAAATTAATATGACCTAACTCAAATGAGTTAGATACATATCATAGTTGATCTTAAGCATCCATAAGAAGCCAAATAACCCATTGGACCAAACTTTATGTTGACTAGGCATAGCTTAAACCCAAATAAACCCAATTTAGCTAGATTAAGCCTAATTACACTTAATCGAGTTTGAGTTTGCTCAATCAAGTCAAATTAAGCTTATGCTTTTCTTAGCCAAATGACCCCATGCATATGATCTCTTCCAACCCGCTATTCCTTTCCACCTATCACAACCTAATGTGCATGCTTTATATTCTAACTCTACATTTTAATCATTGTGCATGTATTTAACTTGCTTTCTCCCTACTCGCACACCTCTTATCATGCAATGAAAAATTAATAAAAGTGTGAGAGTAATATTTTTATATTATTTAAAAACTCAATTAATGCTAGAAAAAATTAGAAAATTTATATAATAAATATATGTTTTGATAAAATAATATTAAATAGAGCATGAAAATCACCCTGAAGTTAAATTCAACATTTTAGGCCATTAGCAAATATTTGTTGTAAGCCCCATTCTTTTCACATACCAATTTTATGCCGCATTACACACTCACCCATTTCATAATAGTTAAAAGGTATCCCAAAATTAACCTTTTTTGAAGATTCTAATTTCAAAATCCAAATTCCAATCGAATCCTCTTCCTTTGTCTGGTCCTCCTTCCGTCCACGTCAGGCGAAGTGATTCTTATCCACCCATTCCATCTAACCTCGCCTACAGTCGGCATTCAACGCCAGGTGTTGTACGCTGAACATTTTCTTACAAGAATCTGTTATCTTCACTTCCCGACTAACCAGCTGGCAAGCTCGGCTCCACCGCCAGCAATTGTTCAGAGAATTACGTCTGCGCTCGTAGCCACTGCACAGTTCACTCTCCCCTTCTTCTCTGTTCCCTCTCCAGTCAAATTAATTCTCTCGACGTAATGGAAATGCCCTTCAAAATTATTTCCCTCTATATTGCCGTCCTTCTCCTCCTCTCAGCCGTCTTCCTCCCCATCGGCGGCAAGAAAACCCTAGGGAACCGCCGCGCCGCCACCATCCACTTCGATGAATCACTGACCAACATCTGGCCGCTGCCGAAGCAGTTCACCTCCGGGAATCGTACGCTCACTGTTGATCCGGGTCTCGGACTTGATGTTCAGGGTTCCGGTGGGAGTTCTTCCATCGTGCTGGAAGCATTCGAAAGGTTTAAAAGCGTGGTTTTCAAGCAGCACTCCGGGTATGCTTGGGGGGAGCACGATATCTTGAAGCTGACGGTTGTCGTTGCTTCGGATGACGATACGGTTCGAGATTTTGTTTTATATTTTGCTGAAAGTTTTTGATTTATTTGGCTGTTGTTGTTTTATTGTTTATTACTCTGTTTTTGGGTTTACTTTATGGTTTCGGTTGTTTGCAGCTCCAATTAGGGGTGGATGAAAGCTATACACTTTATGTATCTGATGGTAGCGAAGGAGGCGGCAGAGGGAGGTTGTCGATAGTTGGCGGAGTTTCAATCGAGGTATGAAGTGTTTTGTTGGGCCATTAGATTATGGTATCGGCTTGAATGATTTATGAAATCGTACTATATGCGATTTTGCTGAATTTTGTTTGTTAGTATTGCTGCTTAAGTTATAGATGCCATCTGATACCCCCTTTGTCTGATAGCTCATAATGGAAATAATTCATGATTTTATTATCTATTCCAGTTTACAGAGTCGTATAAATTGGTTTTCCTTTTTCCGTATCTGATTTACTTAATGATCTATTTTGATTGAATTCCTCCTGTTTGTTTGATTTTGTTGTATGTGAATCTGATCAATTTTTTTTGCTTAAAAAACGAGCTGCAGTTATCTAAATGTTTTGATAGTTATATTAGTAATTTTGGATATCTTACATATTGAAATAGGACATAGGCATTAATAAATAGCATGAAAGGATGAAGATTAAGGATGGCTTGATATATGATAGCAGAGTTAACCTAAAACAACAGCGAAAAGCAATCTTTTTTTGCTGAAAACAAATAACTGTCACAATCAAACATGTTGGAATTGAGTAAAACAACAAAGGCACTCAAACAAACGCTCGCTGGGGCGGACTAGTTGTGTGGCTGCAGTTGGTGGCCGAAACAGGGGTATGTGTGGAAGGTTTAGGGGTGTGGCTGTAGGTGGAAAAGGGAGTTGCGGTAGTGGATTAGGCCGGTTAGCTGTAGGCAGGGATTTAGGATCGACCAAGAGTAGTTGGCTGTAGGTAGGGGGCAGTGTGAGCTAGTTACGAGGAGGAGAATGAGTGCTAGGGATAGGGAGGAGCCGATTGCAAGTATGAGGAGGGGAAAGGGAGGGGAATACGAGGAACATTGGAGCATGATATAACTGGAGTGTCCCCTGTCATCAGATACATCCGTAGCAAGAGAGAAAGACACCGATGACAAAAAAAATTGAAGCAAAAATAGACACTAACCAAGGAAAACAATATATATTAATAATAATAATAATAATAATAATAATAATAATAATAATAATAATAATAGTAATAATAATAATAATAATAGATGGCTAAGGGGGAGCCCTTCCCCTTGAGCGTCAACCCTAACCTAATAGAAAGGGCCTGCCGACCTTTGAACCTGCCCTGTTGAACCGGTTCAGCCTCCCTAGCCGGTTCAACACAAGGATGAGCCTCACGTCAATTTTGCCGGAGCATATAATGTATAGGAACTACTGCTTTCCAAGGAAACGAGCGCAGTATTTATTTCTATTAATTAATTGAGTCATCTTCATGTTGTTTCACCTTTGATAAAATATCTAATTATTCATTTTGTTTAATGAATTTTTGTTTACTTGAATTGCATGTGTATACAACATTTATTATAGAATGATGTGTACTGTGGAGAAAATTAATGGCTTTTTTTTGCTTTCAAAGCTTAGTTTTTTTTTTTATTATTACATGCCAATTTAGGAATTGCCGAGCAGTTTTTCCACTGTTAATTGTTTACATATTTACTTGCACTGTAGTAGAAGGAAGAATTCATATTTGTCTTATTAGAATTCTTATTAGGGTATTTACCTAAACACTATTGATTAAACTAAAATGCCAGTTCCCTTGGTTGCAAGCTCCACATAAAAGAAAAAAAAATAAATTCAGAAATACATAAATATGGAAGATATGTGTAATTCACTGTGCATGATACATAACCAAAATGCTTCACAAATACCCAAGGGCACGGAGCAAAACTCGGCTTCAACACTGCTCTAGGCCACAAAAAATTATTTTTTGCTTTTCCACATGATAAGATTTTCCGACACGAATGAGCAATATCCTGAGGTTGATCGCCAATCATGGATAGATCCAACCCAACTTGCATCCTCATAAACAACAATATAATGAGAAGAGTTGCACAAAAAAAAAAAATGAGCCTGTTGCGTCTTTTAAGTAATGAATGATCTTGTGGACAATATGAGCCCGTTGCGTCTTTTAAGTAATGAATGATCTTGTGGACAACTTTGAGATGTTGCTCATAAAGATTATGCCTGAATTAACTCACAATACCTACTGCGTGGCAAATGTCACGGTGAGCATGGGCGATGTAAATGCGTTTCCCATAAAACATTGGTATTGTGTCTTATTCACTAGAACCACATTGGGATGATCAATTAATTTCTCACTGGGGTCCATTGAAACTGCGACTGATTTGTATAAAAGTAGGTATTCTCTGTTAATAGATCCGCCACATATTTGCGCTGAGACAGGTAAATGCCTTGAGACTGTTGAACAACTTTCATGCCTAAGAAGTATGAGAGCGATCACAAGTTTTTTATTTCAAATGAAGTTGCAAGAATATCTTTCAGAGGCTCCAATGCTGGTGGATCATCGCCTGTGAGCACAACATAGTCGATATTAACAACAAGGATTGCAATTTCACCACTGAAGGAATATCAAAAGAAGAGGGTATGGACTTGGGCCTGAGATAAACCATTACCCATTATCACTTTTGTGAACTTGTCGAACCAGACAACTTGGGGATTGCTTCATTCCGTAGAGGGACTTCCGCAGTCAGCAGACTTGTGCTTAGGAGATAGCAGTGTCAAAACCTGGAGGCATATTTATACCTCCTCTGTGAGATCGCCATTTAGAAAAACATTTTTGAGATTCAGTTAGAGCGGTGACTTATAAAAATTTACAAAAAGAGAAACTTCTATATATTTGTGAGTAGTCTTTGAAAATTAATCATGCCCTTGTTGTGTTCAAAGGATCCATCAGAGTTAAACTTGGTGCTAAAAATCTAGCAACACCCTATCACTTTCTTACCTGGAGCAAGATCCACAACATCCCATGTATGATTCTACTGAACGAAATTCATTTCATCATTTGTTGTAGCTTTCCAGGAAATGTCAACTAATGCTGCTTAAATAGTGGATGACAGGTGATGATTCGTTAGGGTAGTGTCAAATGCTTTGTAGGTCGGTGACACTATGGAAAAAGACATATTGTTCCATGAAATAAAGAGAGCTTGCCTGATTACATACCTCATCAGGAGAACTTGCCTCCTCATTCAGAGTGGGGTCAATTCTCGGGATGTCACTCAGAGGGGATTCTCGGTCCTGTAAAGAGGCAGCGGGCTCCAGAGTGGCAATATGAGCGCGCCGAGCATAGAAACGGATGATGGGAGTAGGTTCTGGTTGTTTGGCAGGTGGCGAATCTAGAGAGACAGAGAGCTCATCGAAGCTTCATAGGGGTTAGATACATAATAATGTCTAAGAAATCAAACTCCCCCCCCCCTCAACACTTGAGCCAGTGACAGGGAAGTAGGGAACTTTTTCAGAGAATGAGATATTGACACTTACATAAAGTTTATTTACGGTCGGATCAAGACACCGATAGACTTTTTGAGTGGCAGAATATCCGAGAAAGACATTTTATAGACCTGGGATCAACCCAACTTCGATCAGTAGTGTTCCGAAGAAATGTCGTGCATCTAAAAATTTTGGGTTCAAGTATGGTGAAAAACCAATTGATAGGAAAACATGACATCATGATTGCTAATGTTGTTCTTAAGTTATTAGTTTTTGTGGGATTTGATTGATGAGATATGTGGCAATAAACACGACATCATTCTAAAACTTTTTAGGGACATTAGATTGAAACATAATGAAGCGTACTATTTCAAGAAGGTATCAGTTTTTTCTCTCGACAACTTCATTATTTCGAGGAGTGTCTGTACATGAGCTAAGATGGTGGGATGCCCTTACTTACCAAGAATTCACCTAAAACAGAGTTAAAATATTTACGACCATTATCGGTTCGAAGTATCTGGATTGAAATTTTGAATTAGGTCAAAATGAAGGAGTGAAAATTTTTGAAGGTGACAACAACAACTTCAGGTTTATCTTTTAAGATATAGACTCACGTCATTCGAGTGCAGTCATCAATTAAATTAAAAAACCACCATTTATTAGTGTAGCTGGGAGTGCGAGAGGGTCCCCACAAGTCGTTCTGAATAAGAGAAAAGGAGTGAAAGGCATGTAAAGATTTGGTTAAAAGTTCATATGTCGGTTTCCTATTGAGTTTCCAACACTTTTCTTGAGTATAATTGGTTTTATTACAGTAATCACAAGTGGACTTTGTGGCTCAAGGAGGGTTTGATGAGTGTTGAAAACTATTAGTGGCCAAGACAGATGATTCGACTGAAGTGGAAATGTCGAACATGATAATTCAGTGGCTCTCTTAGCGTGAAATTTCTGTGAAAGCAACACGAGCAAAAAGAAGGGGATCCCGACCAAGGATACCGTCTCGAACTTCATCAAGATCTCTGTTAAGACCTACTAGAAATTGGAACATGCCATGTGTTACTATAATTTTCTGAAAGAGGGAAATATCTGTCGGAGATTCCTATTTGTAATCATAGTAGAGATCGCATTCCATCCATAGAGCCATCAAATCATTGTAGTACCGCATGATAGTTCTCGATCCCTGTTTTGTCTCATGGATATTCTTGAACACTTCATAAATTTGGTTAGAGTTCCCTACATCTGCTTATATATCCTGAACTGCAATCCATAGGGCACTCGCAAAAGTTAAAAACATATACAACCGTCCAATCACGGTGTCCTTGAAATTGATTAAACATGATATGATAATGAAATTCTCCACTTTCCATGCTGCATATGCTGGATCAATCTTTGAAAGTTCACAAATCATGCCAGTGAGATAGCCAAATTTTCCGCGTCCTTTCACAAACAATGACACGGCTTGGGACCATTGGAGAAGTTAGAGCCATTAAGTTTATGGGTGATGATTAAGAAGTTCATGTGACTTTTTGTCTTTCGGTCTATGGAGGAATTAAGGTTGGTGTTGATCATCCAGTAGACTCAATTGCACTGTCGGAAAGAGGCTCGGTGGTGGAGTCAGTCATGATTCCTACTGAGCCAAAGTTGATGTGTTGCCGAGACATAGGAGGGTTTTGGCAGCAGGAGGGGAACTGGGCCAACTGGAATGGTTTGGTTGCAGTATACTTGGTCCTGGTTAGAGGGATTAGCTGCTGTAAATGCCAGCTGAGAAGTACAGTAGGCAAAATAGAGCAGAAATGTTTTTATTAGACCAAAAAAACAACTGCAATATACTTGGTAATCGCGGGAAGAGCTGCGGACAAAACCCGACTGGGACGTCTCGCGGGAAGAATCACGGGAAGAAGCGCAGCGGGAAGAAAGCTGGAAAGAAATGTAGAAAGGAAAGCCGATCAGGGCAACTGAAAGGAGATCCGACCAGTTGGAGGGAGATATGGCCTGCTGGAAAAGGACCGACAAGGGCTAGGGTTAGAACCATGACTTTCATGCCATGTGAACTTTAAAAAATAGAGTAACATAATTTATTGATAACAAATTGGTGAATAAATACACTTTACAAGATCCACATAAAAGAAAAGACTTAAATTCAAAAATACATAAATATAGAAATGGAGGAAAATAAAGAAAACAAATAAAGCTAAATAATCGAAGCATAAAGCTAATTATTCTAATATATATATATATATATATATAGAGAGAGAGAGAGAGAGAGAGAGAGAGGTCAAAATGATCATTTGACTCTTTGCAGGGGGCATTTTAGTCCCTGAGCTTATGAAATCGTCAATTTAGTTCCCAAACTCTTTTAATATGGGTTAAAATAGTCCCCGTGAGAACTATTTTAGCCTATGTTAAAAGATTCTAGTGATTAGTTTAGCACTTTTATAAACTTTGTGATGAAAAGGACTGCAGCTAAATAATCAAGGGACTATTTTGGCACTTTACTACACACACACTACTCTCTCTTGATGGAAGTAAAAAAATCAAGAATCTGTAAATCTATACATTGTTTCTTTTCTAAAATATTTTGCATCAATTCACGTATTTGAATTTTGATTACTTCAAAACGTGTATACATGCTGCTATTTTATTTTAAATGGATTGCTTATCATCTTAATATTTATTTCTTTGCAGGCAAATACAATATATGGTGCACTGCGGGGTTTGGAGGTACACATGTGTTAATAATGATTGTTACTGTGGCTTCCTCTTATCATTCGTCAAGCAATGTTCATCTTGCCTTGTTGATATGCAAAAGGCTATTGGCCACACTGCAAATTTTGTTACATTCCAACTGAGTAACATTTCTTATTCTGCCACATGCTTGAAATTTGAATAAGAAAACTCAAGTGCAAGAGAAGGGTTCAATTTTCAGTCTCTAATGTGTCTACGAGCTTCATGGGCAAGATTTTGCATACTTTATGTAACAAAATATCTCAAAATATCTAATTTAATCCTTGAGAGTGCCAAAAAAGAGCAATTGATTTTAACTTAGGAGAAATAAAACTAGCATGCACGACACATTCTTATATCATATAAAAATAATAAAATAAATACATGAAGAATGCGAGGATTTATGTGGTTTGGTCAAGATTAATCTACATTTAGAAGTATGCCGACTTAGGTGTTCCAACTCTATATTGAGCCAACATTACCTATAGATAGCCAAGTCTCCAATTACCACCGTTATGCCATTTGGTGTGTTGTGTTTGATGGTCATACTGCATGGAAGTTTTTGAACAAGAGCTAGCTGAAGATTGTGTTATAAGCTTATGGAACATGGAGCAATGTGAAATCCTCTCATTGAATGTTGAGAACTTTTTCATCCCCTTATGACAACCCCTTTTCGATAATTGGTGTTCCTTAGAGAATTTGACTAGGTTTTCTTCCTTCTAGCAATAGGAAGTTCCGGGGCTCTACCTCATGCAGTCAACAAGTTGTTGGGAAATCACCTTCAAAAAGCTATCCATATTGATCAAGATACAACGTACATCATAATTATTGATGATCAAATGGACAATGATCATGCCATTCTAGAGGTTTCAGGCGGGAGGGATGTCATAGCCCAACTGACCACCCCGTTAAGGGTCAACTAAGGTGCAATAGAGACGAACAATTCAGCCAGACTAAATTCTAACAAATACTCATCCTGATTTGCAGAATCAAGATCTAGTGAGTGATGAACTAGACTAACTAAATCGCTGCAAATATAACTGATATATTGCATTTCATAATTCATTCATATACATCATCCATCGGAAGCGTGAAAAGTCATAAGTCATATCATCAAAATATATAAACTATACAGAGTTACTAAATCTGAAATAATAATAGTACCTACTCAAAACGTGTACAAGCTTTCAAAACAATACAGTGCAAAATATGTACAGATCATACTTGATCATTTGCCTCTGTGCTTAATGCTCCTTCTTGAAAGGCAACAACATAAAGTGATCAACGAATTCATTCGCCTCAGTGCTTATTGCTCCTTCCTGAAAGGCAACAACTTAAAGCGATCAACGAATGCAAAAAAATATTCAAGGCTAAAATAAAATTTTATACAAGAAAATGAAATAATATGCATGCTCAAGTGAAACTGTACATGTCTACACACGAGTCATAACATGCTAGCATAATAGAGAACATGGAAGAGTATGTAGTGTAAAAATTAAGAAAGACATGTAAATATATATGTTATAAACATGAAATCATAAGTATAATCAAAAGCATGTTTATAAGCTATTTAACATATGTAATCATAACAATGTCATTTCATAATAATGTCTCTTGTAAATGCATAGACATTAACTATTTTCATGTTCTATCATATTATTTGTTGTCACTTTGCCTCAAATTTCATATAAACTATCGATAAATGTTGCCCCCAATATAATAGTTATTAATGACCCATATGATACTAAACGGTTCCCAACGTTTTGTCACCGCTTGATTAAAATGGTTTTAGAATTTTACCGCCGCCCGAACATCATGAGTCGGGAATATCACATCTCTGCTTAGCGTACTTGCAATTACTCATGTAATAGTCTACTCATAACATTTATTGTAACATTTCTTATAACATAATACCTGTAGCAAACATTTATAAACATTCATACATCACATATATGAGTTATAGCAAATGAATACCCACACACAATTATTTCGTAAGCAGTCACATGTATCATAACATTGTAGTATCATATGCATTGTAATAAAAACCAACTGACATCCATACATTCCAAACAAATATTCAACTATAATATACAAGAAGTCTAAATGCAACAATGTTCACATAAAACCTATAATATTATTTTTCTTAAATTAACATAAGATTATTTCATTTGACTTGACGGAGCAGCCCTACAACGAGATTTCCCACGCTCATCTCAAGCTCGTCGTCTCGCATAAACAATCTAAGAATTCATAATCATCATGGGAATTCATGAAATCCGAGCTTGTATTATGATTTAACCAAAAACATCCTTTAAACACCGACACACCTCAAACGGGCTTCTCGACATAAATCCGCCATTCGAAATTCACCTATTGTCTTCCCAACTTTTCCTATCACCCCAATCTTCTTTTCTTCCTCGACAATTTTGTGCTAAAGCCCTTACAGAAGTTTGCAAACCACTTTCGACACAAGTTCCCTTCGACGACCGCCAGAAACAAAAAAATATATGAAAATCGACGCAAATGTGAAGATGAAAGTGTGAGAAAGGAAAAAAGCTTTTTAAATAGCGTGAAAGATAGTTTCAAACTTACAAAAATCTTCCCGGAGTTCCTTGCTGTGAATTATAACTTCCTTGTCATGCACCAGGATCATGAGCTGCGCTTTGCGCTAAAGTAATCGAGCGCAGTGGCTTGCAGAAAGAAGAAATCAGGATACGGGTCTTCGTGCGATCGAAACAAAGAGCAAGGAGAAGAAATTCAAGGCTCTAGAGGCCATTCGATCGAAACCAACATTAAAAATCGAGTGATAAGCGGTTGGGAACAATAATAATGCGAAGTAGGGAGAAGATTAGGGCAAATTAACGATTAATTAAGTTAATATAACTTCTAAATTTTATATCTACTGATCCATTCATAATTTATATATAGTGCTTTATATGAAATTGATCTATTCAACGTGCACAATTTTATAAAAATAATTTGGTTGAGTTTCAGGGGATGTGAAATTGGGGGTATTTTTTGCTAAATTCTTTACCTGATTTCTAGAATTTGGGTGTTACAATGGAGGCCTTAATCTGTAAAAGAAATAGTGAAAAATGGAGAATAACATGTTTGATGTATCTCACATAGTCGGGCTATTGGAAGCAATGATGATGGATGGCCTCTAAAATGATAAACCCCATCATGGCGCCAAACAATTTTATAGTTCAAATCCTTTCATGATTTAGTTGATTGACGAGTAGTGTTGGTGGTTGTTCTTTCAACAATGCAGTGTGGTCAACATTGTGTTTTGGGTAGAGGTTGTGTCAAGCATGCCAAGAATTGCTTCATGTGATCCTTCTCTAGTAGCTTCTCTAGGAGCATCTTCACGACCCGACCATTTTCTTGTCTCCTTTCTTATTATGTCAGGGGCTAACCTTTTAATTGTTGGAATTTTTTGAAGAGAGAACAAATAGAACTGGGCATCAAAAGTTCTTTTTTTTTGAATGCCCGCCAAAAATTTAATAACTTTATATTCAAAGTGGGTAATAGTTTCTTAAGGCCTTTGGCATAAAAAAAGTGAGATCCCTCTTGATTCTAATGGCCAAGACAACAACGATGAGATCGGCAGTTATGGTTGCCTCAAAACTTATCATGGAAGCCTTCCTTGTAGAAGCCTTGTATCGTTAGTCACTTCGAGGCTGGTTGGGTTTGTCATGCTAATTAGGATGCTATTGACAAGTTTTGAGAAAATAGGCTGAATGCCTTTTTCCTTTGCTTTCATTCCAATATATAATAGTCTGTACAATCTAATTTAGGCACATAATAAAGTGTATAATCTATTTTAGGTAGCTTAATGCGCAATCTAAATATTCAGCTAAGAGGAAAGATCTGTGCAATTAAAATAAAAAAATTTAATGCAACAATTCAAAGAAGGAAACTTTTAATTATGCCTGATTTTATTTATTCTTACTCTGATATCCCTCCTCAAATTGATTGTACACTTTTTTATGTACCTAAATTAGACTGTACAGACTATTATTTATTGGAATGAAAGCAAAGGAAAAATGCATTCAGCCTTTTTTCTCCAAACTTGTCATGGTATCAGAGTTAGGGAGCAAACCCTAGATCTTATTTTAGCTTGCTTCAAATTTGGCTTCAGCTTTGGCTTCAGCACTACTTCCTAGATCATCGGCTTCGGCACTATTTCCTAGATCGTCGGATTCGGGTTCGACACTCACGGCTTCGACACTCACGACTTTGGCAAACCTTAGATCTTCAACTTTGGCTTCGACACTCACTGCTCGATGATCGATGGCTTCGACTTCCTCTCTCTAGTTCGGTCTCCCGCGTCTGGTTCCCGCTTCTGCCTGATCCCGTCTCCCGCGTTCGCTTTTACCTGATCCCCTTTCCCGCGTCTCTCGCGTGCGGTTTCGTGTCCCTTGTCTGGTTTCAGCTTCTACCCAATTTTAAGGATTGACGACAAATCAAAGGAAGCATTTCAAAGTATTTCTGTCTCCCGTAGCTGATTTCTTGGAATATTGTCTTCTTTTATTGTCTCCCGTGCTTGATTTCCGCATTTCAAAGGAAGCAATAAAGGAGATTTCCTCCAACATATATTTTATGATCACAAGAACCCTCTTCCAGCTCCGCCGCTCCTTACACCGCCTGAGTCACACCTCCCTATTCACGCATCAGAAAGCCGAATTTTGGTTTTCTTTGATTTTCTTTGGTTCTTTTTTTCGGATCTTTTGGTTTTTCTTTGATTTTAGGTCAATCAAATTTCGATCAACAACTTTTTCGATAATCAACTTATGAGTAATAATTCTGTTAGAATGTCTTTTGAGTAAATACATGAAATCTTGACTATCAAATTTATGGGAAAGAATTATACAACATGATAATTTCAATTCAAGATGTTTGGTGGCATATTGACGAGTCTTCTCTAGCACCTACAGAGCCGAAACATCTTGGGCAATGGGAGGCAAATAATTGTTTAATTGTTTCCTGGATCTTGG